GTGTCAATGAAGCCATTTGCTGAAGAGGCTTGTTCAACAACAGTCATCTCGCCATCAAAGGCCAGCAAATAATGGCACTGCTAATGAAGAGCTCTTCAAATAAATAATGATCAAGGGCTGTTGTGTCCCCTTTCTGAGGGGAGCTAATGAAGACGTGACACGACAAAATAAAAGGTCTCCACAACAGAGATTATGTAACAATAATATGCTTGTTAATTCAAGCTGGCTTTAAGGATTATACGTGAGAAAACGGGAATGTTTTGCTAAGCTACTGTAACATCTTGTGGGAAGTATCTCCCTCCTCAGCCTGCAGGGATTTTCCTTCAGCTGAGGCGTCTTTGTTTGGTGTCAGCAGTGAAACCAAACGCCTGAGTATCAAGATTTATCCTGCTGCATGTAGCCTGGAGAGTCTCTAATACTCACATACAGGCCTGCCGTATATCCTGTGTGGTAAAATGATCAAATTAGTCACAGAAAATGTTTCTCAGCATCAACTTGAATGTAGTTACAAAGTTATAAAGCCACTGTAGGACTTGATTTGTATGTATGTTTGGATGCTGTCTGGCCAATATGTTTGGAAATGTTACAAGTATCAGTTTGAAGTGACTTTTGGTCATTTTTAACAATAAAGGTTTTCCTTAATGGATAATCTGTGTAAGGCTGTGGTCACAGCAATTTTATCATGTCTAAGCATTTTAAGCTTCATCTGGAGCTCCAAAAGGTTAGGGTTAAGGTCAGGGTCAGCTTGTTCATGCGACCTGCATCTCAGTCTGTTCTCTAAAACCTAAAAGAGGAATTATGGATTGGATCAACTGGTCCCTAAATGCAATTGACACCCCTTTCTCAACGAGAAGTTTGGGCTTGGGTGAGCCTGAGTGCTCCGGATCCAACGCCACCTCCAACGCTTACCTCCCCTCTGATGTGGACATCGGGTCAGTTGGAGGCGCAGTCGAAAGATTGCAGCGGTCCCAGATCAGATGTACACACTGGACCTCTTTCCCATGTTGCTTGTCTGTGTTTATTGTGCTATGGTGTGTTGATATCTTTGCATTCCTGTATTATCCTTTTGTGTTACACATTTCAATGTTTTTTTCCTCGCTACCTAGCCTGACCTGTCTCCCCAATGTGATGTTTGTGTATTGTATGTACGGTCGGCAAGGTCTGTCATCTCGGTTGTGGGCAAAAGACCTGCGACTGACATCTCATCATCATCTTCTTCATTTGCTATTTCCTGATATCGGGCGTATTTTTAAAGCCAAGAAAATATTACTCATATCTGGTTTACTTCACAAGAAAAAGGGAAAAATACTAGCAATGATTTATCTTCATTCCCTGTTGGTTTTCTAAGACAACAAAGACATCTTCAGAGTAACATAAATAGAAATGAATTGAAAGACTAGGTGAAGATAAGAAGGTCCATATTCACATATATTCATAAAACAAATGGTGAAACTCATTATGGATTTACAAACATCTTCCTTTTCTTTTTGCAGAACTTCTTTTGTACAACTCGTGCACTCACACATCACAGGTGAGTCACACAGGTGCACTGCTACACGGCAGTCACGAGTGAGGGAGTAAAAAACAACACTGGCTGGGAATTTGCAACACAAAGGAAGTGTTGTCTCAAACATTCAGTATTTGAACACACCCAGCTTTTCCCTTCTACCTGAGAGCTCATGGTTAATGGTTCAGTCACACAAGGAAAAATAGGACAGCAGCCTCTTTGCAACTGAAAAATATCATCGGCTGCCTGCGTTTGTCGTACTGAATTATTTCACATTCTGTGAGCGATTGCAACTTGTGGTGACTAAATAGTTCCCCTTAAGGATGTTGCACATCCACAGCTGCTTTTGATTGCACAAGTTGCCTGATAGGAAGAAACATTTCTGCAAACAGTCGCCATCTGACTTTGACTGCAATCATTTTCTCAGAGATTGTTGAAGGTTTGCAAATAGTTGATGTCTAGTTATAAATGCAGACAAATTACCAATAAGTTGTCATCAGTCTGAGTCTTTGTCAGTGAGCACAGATCAACAGGATTTGAATCTGGTTGTATTCTGGTTAATTTACTATAGCACGGTTAAAATTGAACTTCTATGAAATTGAACTTTCTGTCTATGCAGACTCCAACAGATATGTGATTTTTGCTGATTTATCACAGTTAGTTGCTGTATTATCAGAAACTCCGATTCAGGCTGATATTAGTCTGGCAACATTTATAGTCTGGCAGGTTTTAGCGACAGTGCTGGTATGCTTGATAATTGCATTTTGCAGCAAAAATAAATGATAAAAGAAATAACTGTAGTGATATAGCTTTATCTTATTGAATATACTGTTTTATATATGCATTAAGTGTATTGTAATCGTGGAAGCATTTGTCTCAATGCTGCTTTTTTCCACATTCAGACTATGAATTAGTGCTTAAACTGAGCCTCCCACTCTATTCTGGAGTGAACATTTTACAGAGTGAATTTTAGATCCATAGATGAAGACATTTCCTCTTACTCTGTGGAGGTTTGTCCAGTGTGAACCACAGCTGAAGTCTCTCAGGATGGTTCTTCTTCACCTCCTCCAGCTCCTCCCTCAGTAAGATGTCTTTCTCAGTCTAAGATAAAGTAAAACCCAGTAAAGCGGTTTGACCACAACACTTTCCCTTTATATGCAGTTATAGAATTCAACTGAGACAACGCAACACACAGCTGACCTGGTTGGCGAATATGAGAGAGCACTTGGTGTCGTCAGTGGAGTCTGATGAGATACTGCGAATTAACTGCAGCATAGGAGTGATACCTGGGAGGGTGAAAGACACCGGAGTTAGTCTCAGAGGTGAAATACAAACTTTTCTCATTTTTCCAGTGAACTGAATGTGTCAGCAGTGCAAAGCAAATATCAAAACTTTCTAAAAGTTAAAGCATGTCACAGATTTGAGGACCACACAAGCAGAACAGCTCTTTTCAAACGCTCTGTATTACAACCCAGTCGTCTAAAACACACTAAAATAATAACATGATGCAGTAAAGCACTTGAAAAGTGTGATTACACGCAGGCCTTAGAATCACTTTAAGGTAAATAACACTTCTGCAGATTTTTGTCCTCTGTGATGTTCCTCTGAATGAAGTGCGTGTATAGTTAAAGTTATTAGAGTGATCTGAAAATGGACCTGTTCCGCCAGCGATCATTCCCACGTGCTTAAACTTCCGAACCTTTGGCTCCGACTTCTTATCTGGTCTGATGGCAAACTGACCTGAGTGGATGACACAAAGTCTCAACCAAAGCAGATCACCCAGCGCCTCCTGCTGGTGTCAGCAGGTTAATGTAGAAACTTCTTTTTTCTTTTTTTGGTTCTTTTCATAAAAAACACCATCACCACACCATTGCCCTTATACACCAGGAGTCCATTGGGCCCTCTGAAGTCAATAGTGTCTCCAATGGTCATGCCGTCCAGGTACTGCGACATCTTCCCTCCATCAGGGAAAGACGGGTGGGTGTTCTTGTAGTAGACCTGGAGGAGTTTACAGAAGGACATCACATTTTTATTTTCACCTTCTTATGCAGTCTCATTTTCCACAACAGTGCAATAAAAATGACTTCCAGGCTCTCGAATGATCCACTCAGCCGGTAATAATCAAATGTCAAACTTTACACATATTGTCTAATATTACTATTGATATGGCCTTTTTCTCTTACTGGAAAAGCTTCCCTATAATCCAGAAAACAGAAAAAGAGAGTATGTAAAACCAATATTCAAAATTTTATTTATGCTTTTGGAGAAAGCATCACGATCACAGTTATGTGACAAATGATAAAACCTGTGCGGTACAAAGCATCTCACAATATTGTGCTTCAGTTTTCTGTATGAATGATATTCTAGTGTTAGCTGTTAGCTTAGCACTCAGTAATTTTATATACATATAAAATTACTCCAGAACATCGGCGTAACTTTGTGCTAGACATTGGGGAGGGTCAAGATCTCTGTCTAAATAAATAAATCTGGGTAAATTCCCAGATGATTAAACATGCAACTGTTTTGCTGGTAATAACTGAAATGAGTAAAGAAAATCAACAGCCTATTTATGCAAGATAATTCACAATTTTATTGGGGGGGTATATTGGTTGGGTCTGATTATTGGAGGGGTCATAACCCCGCTAACCCCCCTGGAACTTACGCCACTGCTCCAACAGGCTCAGTTTTTTTAAGGTATTATTGCTTCAGACTTGGTTGCCTATTAAAAACAAACTCATGGCCTTTCATCAGTTTCTAGGGCTTTGTACAAATGGCTTATAGTGTAATAAAAGTGATAAAAGTGTTTATTAAGCAATGACTGACTGTCCAACTGATAATCTCACTGACGATAGTAGCTCAGGATGCAATACAGACACTCAGATCTTTACCAAATTTCTTAATAATTGCTCTACAGATCAAATGTGAACATGTTAAGGTTAACCACCTTAACCACGAGGTCAACATATCCTTGGTGCTCATCACTGGAGACTGGAGTGTAGGCTCTAACCGCCAGAACGCCGTTCACCTTTGCTGACAGGTACACGTGCTGGCCTGCACAGCGGACAGAGACGGGGAAGAGAAGTGGCAGGTTTGGTGTAGTGTTGGGTTAAAGTGAAACAGGACGGTGGGGAAAATGTTGATACAGGAAACGAGGGCAGTTCTACGGCTGCAGCAAGGAATCGTGAGCATCACTGTCAAGTGCTAATACTTATCTATTCTAATCAAAGTCCAATAATTTTTTATTTTTGATGTTTAACCGGTGTAATCGGCAAGTGAGCTTGCCTTCTTGTTTGTTTGTCTGGTTATACCGCAGCATAAGTATGAGGAAGTGCTAAAAGTGCTGAGTGCTCAGATAAGAAAATCTGCATGCTTGCTTTTTCTACTAGGATTTTATCAGAAGAGAGAAAGAAAAGAGCTGGTACAGTACCTACTGGCAGCCCAAGGATGTGACTTGCAGATGGAAGGCCAAACCGAAATTTCTTTGTGTCATGACTGATTTCCTGCACAAGGACACAGCCACAGTACCATAAAAAGAGAAAATACATATAATATTATCCTTCTGAGCTGGCTAAATAAATCTCCCATGGCTTCTGTTTGAAGCTTTATGTTTATGCAATACATTAACAGATATTTGTCCTATTATGTAACTGCATCTTGAGGGTATTTAAAACATAAAGACCGTTCCAGGCGTGCAAACCGGTGCACTGCACAAAAACAGAGCTGTTACAGCTAACTCAGTGAGAGCAGCAAATCTATCACTGCACCCCCAATAATACTTTCTTATGATGGGAATTTTTGATGAAAGAATGAGTCCTACATTGTCCACAATGCAACTCAACGGACCTTAATGTTTAAAATGTGGTGTGTGAAAGGATTTACACGGGCTCTTGGTACACTAAATCTGAACTGTTAGGGTCTTTGAGTGAATTTCAAAGATTACTGAACAGAAATCTTGTGACTACAAATGTGCAAATCTTGGTTTTTTGCAGTCATTTAAAAATGTACGTGCTTATTTATCATAAACATAGATGCAGGTCTAAACACACACTGGATTTTGTTAAGCCTGTGAGTTTGTATGCAGCCCACCTCTTTGCGTATAAGTGGGAGAGGATATTTCACTGTGGGATCTTGGAGAGTGACGGGCAGCTTCTTCGTCTTCTCACCTGAAGAACCTAGCAGGAAGTAGAAAACTGTTCCTACCAACACAAAGACAGCCACCAATCCAGGGATCACCTGCAGGACAAAGATCAAAGTGTGAACACGCTGCATTTGTGTGTTCACATTCAGCCGTTTGTAGCATGCCTAGCGACTTGCACAACAGTTAAGATAGAGAAACAGTTTACATTCAATAACTGAAAGGAGAAATAAAGCTCATTTTTTTCTCACCAAGGTCTCGTCCATGTTTAACGTGACAAATTAGTCAGTCAGAGCCTCCCTCTCCTCCCACAGACCAGAGTCCACACAGTTAAGGCAGTGACAGCCTTGCCTCATTCACTCTACACAAATCTCAAAAGGGGCTTGGCTTCCCACTGAGGTGAAAGGTGACACGGGGCCCGAAGCACCAATAGGAAGACAGATTTCATCATGACGCTATATAGTACAGAGGTGGTATTCAGACAGTGAGGAGCAGAGCCTTGAAATCACACCACTGACAGAGGGGAGGAGAGACAGGCATATCAGATTATATAACAAAGACCTTCACTGCTCTGTACAGGGGCACAAAATACTTTACTCACTTCAGAGAAAAACATGCTTTTCAGAAAATAATGAACTCGTGTATGAATATTTCCACAAAAAGGCATCTAATTCATTAATTTATTCAAGTTAAACACAACAGTGATAAAAGTTTCAGCTGGCATTAAATATGTCCTTGAGTTAACTAGTAATCTTTAACTGTGAGCCCAGTCTTAATGAATCACTGTGAAGCAAGTTCTTTCTTCTTTCTTTCTTTTTTTTTTTCGGTACAAAGTAACCGAAATACAAAAAGGCAAGAAAAACAAAAATCAGCCTTTCCACCATATCTCATGATCAAACTTAGTTTGGTTAAAAAAAAAATCTGAGAAATTAGAGAACAATGTTCAAAAACGTGTTTTTTTATACTAATGAAAGAAAAAGTGGGGCAAATATTATGAATCCTTACATTGTTTTTAATGCATTTGTGTTTGAAGAACAGTAAAAAGTAAAAGCGCTCAATGCAGCAAAAGTCACTGTGAATCTATTGCAATAACACACTCTCATTATAATCACTGAATGCATATGCATTAAAACAATAGCATTTTAATGTTGTACTATGTTGCATGGATTAATGTATCTTATTCTATCATTTAAGAATTTTTACAAATGCAAAGTACACAAGAGCATATTAGGGCAATGCATGCGTAAGCTGCAAGTTCATTGAATTTGTGCTTAAGTATAGATCAGTCAGGACTATATTTATTGACAATCACAAAAATTATATTTGGGAAAACAAAGCAGGCATTTATGATATTGGGCTGGGTGGAGGTGGGTTGCAAAGCGGTTTGCTCAAATACTGCATCCTGTATGAGATTAGCTGGTTGGGAGTGTAGACTTTACCAGCTGACCCTCTGATGTGGTGTTGCACTGAGCTGGTGTCCAGTTGATCTCCTGGGATTGAAGCTGAGTTTGGCTTTGTGGTCTTTTGTTATACGCCACTATATTCCTTTTATTAGATACTATATTTTATTCTTTACAAAACTTGCTAAAAATCAATGTAACATCTAACCGCGTGTCTTTGGGAGTATCCTAAAAAAGATGAGCCAATTTTATTTGTACCCAGTAACAGTTGCAGCATTTTAACCATTTTGTTTAATCACAGTCACCAACACTGATAAAAACATAGCACGGGGTAGAATAATGCACTCTGTGTCTCTGTGTCAAGTCAAATGATTTAAAAGCAACAAATGTTGACCAAATCGTTGCAAAAAATTATGAGGCAGATTTTTAATACAGCCTTTAATACTTGAGCATAACTTCAGGGTAAGAAAATAGCAAGATGACAAAATGGTGCGAGGAATATCCTGAGGTTTCTGTAACAAAAATGACTAAACTAAACTACCAGTGTGGTTCTTGAACTATCAGTATGTTGAAAACTGGAGAGCAAGCATTCTAGGAAACAGCAACAAGTAACAGACAAGCGATTGAAAACTCCCGTTTTTGCATTCTGAGGCAGCAGCAGCAGACTTAAAGACAGCAGAATTTAACAGGTAGCCTCCTTCCTGCAGGTTACTGTGCCAGCTCTGATGATTCCCTACTGTAATCTTCATCTACACTCCGGTCCACATTTAAGGTAACATCCTCTGAGGCGTCATGGTCCACATCGGCCCGGTGAGGCAGGGCTCTGGTTCTGTACTGCTGCACAACTGGTTCTGCAACACAGATGTTAAATTAAAAAAAGATTTATGTAGACAGATGAAAGAATCACTGTACAAAGAACCAGTCGTAATCTCATTATGTAATTGTGGGTAGGGGTGCAACGATACACAAAATTCACGGTTCGGTTCGGTTTGATACTTTGGTGTCACGGTTCGATATTTTTTT